CTCCACACCCTCTCGAAGCTGCTGCTCTGCCGTCGGCCCTGACACTTGGAGGGTGAAGAACAGCCTGTCTGCTCGCCTGCTGACTCAGTGCTCTACTGGCTGTGCCCCCTCCAGCCTCCTGTCTTCTTGGCTTCAGGCTGGCAGGGCTGCCCATGCCCCCTGCCCCTTCCTCTCAACCTGCAACTTGTACCCACTCTGACCTGGCTCCTCTAATAAATTCATGTCCACAGGGGGTACAAGAAAAAGAAAAGAATGGGTACATTCTTTTGTTCCAAGAATATAAAACCAAGGTAATTTATCAAATTCTAAGGAATGCTAACAAGTCGAACACGCTAATCAAAATGCACAAATACAAAACTCTCCCCTAACTCTTACCCTGAGAGTAAGTTGAGGGATTTGCTTGTAACTTTCTAAAAATTCTACAGATACTCAAACAGTGAGTGGGAAACAACTGGCAAGAACTAATACAAAGGAGGTGGCCTCAGCAGTCCCACCAGTAACTTGTGTAAGTGAGCTGAAGCTGTGGCCCTCTTTAACTCATTTCTGCAAACTACCACCCACAGCTCTTGTTAACACTCTAACAAACAGATAAGCACATGAGTAGATGGCTCACATGTGGATGTTCCAATGCTTGCTTTCTGTGTGGAGCGATACTGTTTTCCACAACCTGCTACGCTAGGCAAACGGCCTTCTCTTTAATTCAGAACAAATTTCTCTGGTTCACAGTTCCACACCAAATCCCCCTGGCTTCTGTGAGAGAAGCTCAGCTCCTACGCAGTCAATCAAACGTGGGCAGGACGTCATGCCAAGTTATTTCATTTCTGTCCACGTCAAACGACTTTTCCCTCTTTTCTGCCTACCAAATTCTTACTCAGCATTCAAGATCCTGCTTAATTTTCCCCTCTTCTGTGATACCTTTTCAGCTTCCTCAAGCTCCTTGCCTTGTACTTCCTAGACCTCTGACCACACTTTGATAATATCTCCTATCACGTGCATTGTAATTTTTCCATGTAAGGCGTGCTCACACATTTTTGGTAGGAAAGTATATTAGTACAACCTCTTTGGAGAGCATTTTGGAAATGTCTGTGAATATGGCAATGCACATACCCTCTGACACAACAATGCCACTGCCAGGACTTTGTCCTGTGGATATACTCACACAGGTAAGCAACAAGGTTGTTGTAACACTATTTGTTATAACAAAAGAGTAGAAACAATCGAAGCACATTTTAATATGGGTCTGGTTTAAATAAATACAATAGAGTACCATGCAGTAAGAATCAGAAATCTCTTTCCATACTGGTGTCTGAAACTCTTTTCCCAAAGTCCCTTAATTTATCTGATAGAGAATCTTTTTTCCCCAGCTTTATTGAAATATGAATGACAAGTCAATAGAGAATTTTGACTTAATAGTTCACATCAGCCCACTAAAAGGGTGTGTCTGCCCCCTCTCTCTCTTCCTCTCCTCACCCCCATGTATTTTGCTTCCCCCGGCCATTAAGCAAGTGAGGACAAATTTGGCGATGGTCTTCATTGGACGTGAAGTATGAGGTGAAGGGGATCAGAAAATATCAACCCAAAATATGCCACTTTGGCATAAGGATTATTTTGAGTTGAAGGCAATTGAGAAAAAGCAGACACAGAAAGAACTCTGAGCCCTCCCCCATCTGCCTGAAAGCAAGGCATAAATTCCCCAAGAAGGTATCCTCCTCCTGTAGGTCCCCCATTAAAGACAGAGGAGAAGAACCCTTATCACCAGGGATAGATAGAGATGGCACAGAGATGAGTCTGCATAAGCAAACCTTACTAAAATAACTCTTATTTTCCATTAGTTTCCCCATATCTCTACCTTCCCACAATTTACTCCCCCAGAAGTTCAACGCCTCTTTCCTTTTAGTCACTTCTCTACAATGTGTTGCCCTTTGTTTATAAACGTCCAAGTCTAACCACTTCTTTGGATTTTCACTTCTTTTCTGTATAGCCCTTATACACATAAAATTAAAAACATCAATTCAACTTGTATGCCTTTTCCTCCTGTTAATCTGGTTTTTTGTTACTTTAATTCAGTTAATTCACAGTAACTAGATATCAAACCTAAGAGGGGTAGAGGAAAAGTTTTTTTCTCCCTTACAGAGGCATGTCAGAAAAGCTCATCACTTAGTCCCATTGAAGTCAAACCATGGGAATGCTGAAAACACAAGAGGGAGGGGACCCCACTACTTCCAGAAGTCGTGTTGATGGACACTGCCTCCAGCCTTTGCTATTTAATGTGAAGCTACAAGATATGCCCAATCACAGTCTCCCCTGCTTTCTTCTAGACAAAGACTTTATTATGTATCAAGACTTTTTATGTAACTGCCACACATACGAAGTTTAGTTGCTGTGCAGTTACAAAGAAACAAGAGACTATTCTACTCTCAAAAAGTGTCAAATATTGTTAATCAACTATGCTCCAATATAAAATGAAAAAACAATTTTAAGTGTCAAATAGTCTAATACAGATCCAATTAAAGAGGGGAGCTATACAAAGCAAATGCAAATAATACAACTGCGTAAGTTAATAAAGGTTGCTGCCCAAGTAAACCCGGTCCAACCTAATAGAACCCTCACAGGTTTCTCTGCCCAAAATGCATAGACTCCAGTTAAGGCTTTTGTTCCATTCCCAGGCCAAACCAACCACTGCCTAGCTTTGAGACCTTACAGAGTTTAACCTCACTAAGTCCTATTTCATCCATAAAATGGGGATATTAGGATCCACCTCATAGGGAAATTAGAACAATTAAATGAGACAGAGCATACAAAGTACTTGGCACAGTGCCTGACACTCAGGGCCAAATAAATGTTAACTATTACTATTATAATCATCATCATCATTCTGGAGTTTTCAAGATATTTCTCAGACTTTATTCTGCCATCAGGTATTAACAGAGCATCAAGTTTATGAAGGAGAATTATTCATGTGCACACCTCGAGCCAACTCCATATCTCACCTTTAACTAATTCATTTATTCAGAGAAGAAAAAATTATACAAAACTTCAGATCATTTTAGGTGAAAACCTTTTCCCTCTCAAAGGTGTTATATAAGCAACATATGTGTGACATCTTTGAAGTTTTATGATGTTTTTACTGTAAATATGAAAGAACCCAAAACACTGACATATGCTTCTTCAAAGTCCCACTAATTTATTTTCCCAAGACAAGCGAAATATTTATGCCACTTTACTTCGACCACCAAAATCAATAAGCCATTTAAAAGAATTGGTCAAGGTCAGACATCAGGCTTCCAACTACAGAGGAAGGTTATCAAACGTGCTTAAATGAGAGGATTCTAGTCCAAATCTCATTCAACATCTTTTGGCCCATCTTTACCTCAAGACTCAGAATAAAGTCTCTTTTTAAAAAGTCTTTGTGAGGGAGTTCCTCGGTGGCCTTATTGGTTAGTATTCCGGGCTTTCACGGCCATGGCCGCGTGATCCCTAAGCCACACCTCAGCAAACACACACAGACACATCACGTTGATGTCCCTCCTGCTACAGCACAGACATCACTTAACGTCTAGAGATGAAAAACCTCATGAACGGCTTTTCAGGACCTTCTTTGAAATAAAGTACTCTGTTTAGCTATCAAAGAACAACTCTTCTTTGTTGGTTACTTGAGGTCCTGATTTACATCTGAGTTTAGAAGGCTGCTGCGTCCTACAAACAGACTTAAAATGCAAATTCCTCATCAGACTCCATATCTAAAGAAGCACAGAGCCCACTTCCAGCCTTTCTCCACCATCGCTCACAGCGGAGCCAAAGTCCCAACAAAGTCACACCCAGCCCAGCAAAATTTAAGTCCTCAGTGAATGACTATGTCATATATGTGAGTATGTACATAATTTTCAAATAAAATGATTTGAAACTACCACTGTATGATGGTAAAGGAAGAAAACTGGATAATCATGAAAGTTGAAGTGCTTGACTAAAGTTTAGAAAAATCAAGAAAAAAATTAATCACTGAAATTACTCCTTCCTAATCAAGGTTACTTCGAAATTTGATGTAAATGGATAAATTTCAGCCTGTGCTATACTGAATGAAGTTGCATGAGATTGGAAGAAAAAAGTTCAGAGTATGTAAGAGCCACTTCTCTTCCATTTCCCACGTTTTCAGTAACTACCTACTCAATGAATGCACGAAAGAGCTTATTACAGTGTTGAACTGAAATACCTCAGTCGCTTTTAAATTCTCCTTTCTCCATGTCCCAGAAAATATTCCAAGGATCGAATAAAAAATGAACAAGGACTATCGGCCAAGAAAGCTGCTTGAGGAACTTAGTAAGCTCACCCTCTCCAGTTTAACTCGCCTAATTCACTGAGGGAGCGGAGGCAAACGGCTTGTACTGCATGATAAAGTGACACTTCCGAATAGTAATAGCTGAGATTACTCTGCCGCAGCCTAGATTCTTCTAGTCAGGAGCTCGAGTACAGCTTTCTAAAAGCTTTTCCCAAGATCTCGAGGTCAATTTGCGGACACTCATTCACCCACCCCACCCTACCAGCAGCGCACTTCCCGTTCGCTTTGGCCGGTCAAGAGCTCAAACTTGACAGCGACACACACTGAAAAAAAAAAAAAAAAAGAGGAAGTGGCTAAAAAACCATTTCAAGACATTTATTTAATTTTTTTTTTCCTAAGGGAGATCAATGGCCCTGTCTTCCAGGAAATCTCAATGGGACGTAGCCATCACGTCGACTGGAAAGTTGCAGCGAATGACAATGCTGCAAAGCCGAGGGTGACTCCTCTTTAAAAATCAAATTTAAAAAATTCCTCGAAAATCTTCTTGCTATCCAAAACGATCCGTCCTCTGCAGCGAACACAGCAACGCTAACAACTCCCACCCTGGTGGGTGGCATCGAAAGCGAGGCTCGGGGCCGGGTACGTGCCTGATCTGCCCTGCCAAGTGGCAGAGGGAGCGCAGGGCACGGCAGCGGCCAGGGGACCCAGCGAGCACCTTCCTTACCTGGTTTGACCGGTTTGGGTGGCGGCTTCGACATCTCTCTTCCTGGAGCGGCTGATTCTAAAGACCACGCACGAAAAGCCAACCGAATGCCCCTCCAGCCGGCACTCCGGGCGCCTCAGAGTTTCTTTATGTCTGGTTTGCAGTGGTGCGCCTTCAAGGACCTGCGTCCACCCCGGGAAGCCGGACGAGCAGAGGCAGGCAGAGCAGCTCGGCGAAGTGCCCCGCCCCGCCCCGCGGCCGACAGAGCTGTCCAGAGCGCGCAGCCGGGCAGACGAGGAAGTAGCCGCTGCCTCGCGGAGCGCTAATTGGCTCCCCGGCTGCCAGCTTCGCCGCTGCAGGAGCGCGGGCGGCGCGCACGGCGGCGCGCACGGCGGCGCGCGCGGCGGCCGAACCAGCGGGAGCCGAACGGGGGCGCCGCAGGCTCGCGCCGGGGCCGGCCTGGCTGCGCGCGCGCCCCGGACGGGAAAGGGCTGGACTGGGCAGGAGCGCGCGCGCGCAACCACGCTCGCCGGAATCCCGCCCCATCCAACGCTGGCCGGAGCCGGGTGCCGCGTCCGCTCAGGGTTGGGCAGAGCCCTAAGTGGCCACCTCTACCCTGCGTCGCCTCTCACCCGGGAGGGGCACGGGAGAAGGGGCCGTGGGCCTCTCGGTTAACGAGCTTCGGGGGTTGCGGCGGGTTAGTGACAGGCGCGCTTGGCAATAGCCTGTGCCGCTTTGCTTGGGACCACTCGAACTGGCGCCTGGTGAGTACCTGCCTGACGCCCCGCCGCGCAGACTCCCTGGGGCCTGGAGGTGTTTCCAGAGTGTTACTGCGCTGGAGCCCGAGCCCCGTTGTGTCTTGCAAGCCCTTTTGGGACTCCTACCACCCTAAATGGGCTGATAAGTGGCCTGCCAAGGAGGACGTGCACTCGTGATGGTGTCGTGCCCTCACGCCCCCTTATAATCCTGAAAACGGGAGTCTGCCTTCTAGAGACCGGACAGGTGGTTGGGAGAAGTCACTGAGGTCAGGGTCAGGTCCCTGCCAGAGGAGACAGCTTGACTCCTCTAGCGTTGAGGTTGACTAACTGCGGCCCTCTTGCTGCCTGTTATTGTACAGCCTAAGAATGGTTTTCAAGTTTATTTTAATGGCTTAAAAGAAATCAAAAGAAGCAGATTTTGTGGCACGTGAAAATTATATGAAATTCAAATTTCAGTGTCCATAAAGTTTTATTAGAACAGAGCCACTGTCATTTGCTTATGTATTGTCTGCGGCCGCTTTCACTTCCTAACAGCAGAGTTGAGCAGCTGCCCGCAACGCCAAAAACATTTACCATCTAGCACTTTGCAGAGCAAGTTTGCCGACCCCAGACCTAGCCAACTGAATTTCCACTGAGAGGTAAGGGCTGGAGCAGACAATAAATGCACCGTGTGTAAATTCAAAATAGCACAGGCAATATGATAAATCGCTTGTATGTTTGGGGGAAGAAAAATTGAAAAGAAAAACTTTACGTGAGAGTCTATGTAAAATGAAGCTTTGAAGTTTCTACTAGGGGTTAGTGACAGAGTGATTCCAAGAGAACTGGGCAAGGGTTGTGTATTCAAACACGCCAGCCTTGGCATTTACCAAAAAGGAGCAAAGTTTAGAAAATAGTAGAAAAAGACTACCCTGTCACATAGAAGATAATCAAAATATTGAATTAAATAAATGAGTGAGAAGTCCTGAAACATTTCACTCTTTTAGAATCCAAAATGTACCGTATTTAGTAGTGAAATAATTTAAATATAGTAAACACATACCAGTTATGAAAAAAGGACTCAACAACATATTTTACTTAGGGTTAAAAAAAGTATAAAAAAATTAAAAGTACTCATTTTGGATTTGCTGTTTGCCATCTTCATCTGTTCTCCTCCTCCTAAGCAAATTCACTCTGCTGTTGAGGAAAGCCTTGCACTTACTGGGAGAATAGAGTACAGTTGACCCTTAAACAACACAAGTTTTAACTGCATGTGTTTATTTATACTCGGATTTCTTTCACTAAATTCATACTGCAGTACTACACAATCCAAGGTTGTTTTAATCTGAGAACGCAGAATGGTGGATACAGAGGGCTGAGTAAAGTTATATGTGGATTTTTGATTGTGAGGAGGTTGACATATCCAACCCCTGAGTTGTTCACGGGTCAACTGTACATAAATATCCCACAAGAGTGGCAGTGGTATGTACTCCTAGTAATTGGCTGCCCTGGATTGAGGAGGTTAGAAAGTCCAAATGGTTGTCTCTCCGGAGACATCTAGTGATTTACAGTTTGTAGGGGATGGAGATTGTGTTTCATTCATTGAAGTCTACTTCTATGTATTTTTGGAGCCTGGCACCTCTGGAGTGCAAGCTTTTTAAATGTGATTTTAAAATAGTTCTTAAACGGGACAGCAGGCAGTGAAATAATAGAACATGGTGTGGAGATGGACAGTGCCAGGGCTGAGCTTGGAGTTCACCTGAAGCTGCCCTGTGCATCCAACACTGGTTTTGAAATACATGGCTTCTGGGATTGCTATACCCATCCCACACCCCAGCCACTCAGCCCAGCCGTAGGTCTTGCTTCTGCTTCTCTCAATTCCCTAACCTCCCACCACAGTGTCACCTGTTCATTGCTAATGGACTGTGCCCAATATTTACCCAAACACTGTCTTGGAAAGGCTAAAACTGCTAACTAATATAGAAGTGAGGGTTCCTATTTTGGTAAAAACTGGCATTTGACTGGGAGTTCTCTCCCGAGCCCAGGAGATTTCATAAGAAGATTCTTGACTCCCTTACTGTTAGTTTCAGAATTGTTAGATTTGCCACCCAAATAACCGCCTCAAGCCTATTTCAAGTGCTTCAGCCACACTTCCTTGTTATTTACATGCTAGGTAATCAGTACAACATCCTCATGTGTACGCATAGATGTGGCAAGAAGCACAGGAGACTAGTAGTCCTTGCCATTCAGTGGATACAGAAAATGCCCCATCAATAATACATCAATAAAAATAACATCTATTATACATGAGAGCCTCACAATTAAGCCAGCACCTGTGCAACATCCTTCCTTTGCTCTTGGTAATAAAGTGCTTTTTAGCAGCTTAGAAAGATGGAAAGAAGTTAACTCACTTGGTTTAGTTTTGTTTCTAGTTTTGTTTTTTGGCCACACCTCACAGCTTGTAGGATCTTAGTTCGCTGGCCAGAGATCGAACCCTGGCCCCAGCAGTGAAAGCACTGGGTCCTAACCACTGGACCACCAGGGAACTCTCTCTAGTTTTCCATTTACTATCTGTGTGATCTTGAACAAGTCACTCCATTGTCTGGGCCAGTTTCAACTTCCGTAAAAATGAAGGGGTGGACTGTGTGATACCTAAGGCTCTATTTCTCCAGGCTTGAGAATTTATGCTCTGATGAATTATCCAAAAATAGGTGACATGGAAGCAAGGAATAACAAACTTTCATGAATTTTTTTTCTTATTTTGCCAACTGAGGACATCAATCTACTACTCCCTAGCCAGCATGATTTCATAGGAGAAAGGACATTTAGCACCAAAAAATGTAAGCAAACTACCATCTTGCTTGTAAAAGGGTAACCTTTCCTTTCCCAAAAAAGGATAGTTGGCAGCCTTACACTGACATATTAAAGGTAATAATAAGGTAAAACATAATTCAAAAGCAGAAAAATTACAATGTAAAAATTTATTTTACAATACTCATTATATGTAATTGTTCCCTTGATATACTGTGGCAATGTGGATGGAGATAAATATTCAACAATGCAGCTCCTGGTGAAACTCAGATGTCCAACTTGATATGTTATTTTATTTCTGTCACAATCACATTCTTGTCTCATGTAGTCTAGTAAATGAAAGTGGAACCAAACCTTACTAAATTGCACTCAATTTGGAATACAGCTGTTCCTTAGTAGGGGTGGTGGTGGTGATTGGACAATACCCCCCAACCCAGGAATACCAGAATCTGCAGATACCCAAGTTCTTTATATAAAATGGCAAAGTATTTGCATATAACCTATGCATGTCCTCCCACATACTTTGAATCATTTCTAGATTACAGGTAATCCCTAATACAATGTAAATGCTATGGAAATAGTTGTAAATACAATGAAAATACTATGTAAATAGTTGCTGGTGCAGCAAATTCAAGTTTGGCTTCTTGGAACTTTCTGAAATTTTTTTCCCCTAAACACTTTCAAACCACTGTTGGTTGGATCTGTGAATGTGGAACCGTCAGACATGGAGGGCCAACTGTGTTCTGAAAAAACTGAGGACAGGCCAAGGAACAACAGCCCTCTCTCCACCACGCTCTTCTCTACTACCTCCCCACAGGGGACACAGGATAGGAACTGGGAGGGTAGCTGAGAGCCTCCAGCGCAGCCACCACACACCCCGGGTGGCACAGCTTAGGTTCCTGGTCACCCCACCAGAGGAGTCAGGAGTAAAGAGCAGCATCAGTCAGAGGCAACCTTCTAGAACCACTATGCTAAGGTTCCCTGCAGCTGAGCTTCATCTTTTCACTTAAAGAGATGACAGTGGTCCTTGGAATATCCACAGGACTGCTTTGGTGAGCCTTAGGGGGCCATGCATGAAGCTGTCCTCCACCCCTCATACCAGGGGTCAATAAGCAATGGGCTGCAGCTAAAACCTGGCCCCCTAGGGACTTCCCTGGTGGCACAGTGATTAAGACTCCGCACCCGGAGACCTTCAAGATGGTGGAGGAGTAAGACGTGGAGACCACCTTCCTCCCCACAGTTACATCAAAAATACATCTACATGTGGAACAGCTCCTATAGATCACCTACTGAATGCTGGCAGAAGACCTCAGACTTCCCAAAAGGCAAGAAACTTCCCACATACCTGGGTAAGGCAAAAGAAAAAAAGAAAAAACAGAGACAAAAGAATAGGGACGGGACCTGCACGAGTGTGAGGGAGCTGTGAAGGAGGAAAGGTTTCCACACACTAGGAAGCCCCTTCACTGGTAGAGATGGCGGGGGGGGAAGCTTTGGAGCCATGGAGGAGAGCGCAGCAGCAGGGGTGCAGAGGGCAAAGCGGAGAGATTCCCGCACAGAGGATCGGTGCCGACTGGCACTCACCAGCCCGAGAGGCTTGTCTCCTCCCCCGCCAGGGCAGGTTGGGGCTGGGAGCTGAGGCTCAGGCTTTGGAGGTCAGACCCCAGGGAGAGGACTGGGATTGGCTGCGTGAACACAGCCTGAAGGGAGCTAGTGCACCACAGCTAGCCGGGAGGGAGTCCGGGAAAACGTCTGGAGCTGCTGAAGAGGCAAGAGACGACTGTTTCGGGGTGTGCAAGGAGAGGGAATTCAGAGCACCGCCTAAACAAGCTCCAGAGATGGGTGTGAGCCACGGCTATGAGCATCAGCGCGGACCCCAGAGACGGGTATGAGACGCTAAGGCTGCTGCTGCCGCCACCAAGAAGCCTGTGTGCGAGCACAGGTCACTATCCACAGCTCCCCTCCCGGGAGCCTGTGCAGCCCACCACCGCCAGGGTGCCGGGATCCAGGGACAACTTCCCTGGGAGAACACATGGCGCGCCTCAGGCTGTTGCAACGTCACACTGGCCTCTGCCGCGGCAGGCTCACCCTGCATCTGTACTCCTCCCACCCCCCGGCCTGAGTGAGCCAGAGCCCCCTAATCAGCTGCTACTTTAACCCCATCCTGTCTGAGCCAAGAACAGACACTCTCAGGTGACCTACATGCAGAGGCAGGGCCAAATCCAAAGCTGGACCCCAGGAGCTATGCAAACGAAGAGAAAGGGAAATTTCTCCCAGCAGCCTCAGGAGCAGTGGATTAAATCTCCACATTAACTTGATATACCCTGCATCACTGGAATACCTGAATAGACAACAAATCATCCCAAAATTGAGGCGGTGGACTTTGGGAGCAACGGTAGACTTGGGGTTTCCTTTCTGCATCTAATTTGTTTCTGGTTTTATGTTTATCTTAGTTTAGTATTTAGAGTTTATTATCATTGGTAGATTTGTTTATTGATTTGGTTGCTCTCTTCCTCCTTTTTTTTTAATATATATAGATATATATATTTTTTTCCTTTTTCCCTTTTTGTGAGTGTGTATATGTATGCTTCTTTGTGTGATTTTGTCTGTATTGCTTTGTCCTAGGGTTTCTCCTAGGGTTCTGTCTGTCCGTTTTTTGTTTGTTTGCTTGAGTATACTTTTTAGCACTTGCTATCATTGGTCGATTTGTTTTTTGGTTTGGTTGCTCTCTTCTTTCTTTCTTTCTTTAATTACTTTTTAATTTTTTTATTTTTAATAATTTTTTTTTATTTTAATAACTTTATTTTATTTATTTTTTTCTTTCTATCTTTTTTTCTCCCTTTTCTTCTGAGCG